CAATATTACTTTAATACTGTTTGCAAAAATAGGAGTAGCATTGATTTGAATAACCTGATGCAGTTTTTAAAGGACATGGCTAAAATTTAGTGAAAAGTCATTTGCCTATATATGGCAGTATATAAAAAGTACTGCTTGATCTTTGAAGTTTAGAGCAAATGTAAGAACAAAAGATCACTACTATCACTTCTGTTGCTGTATATTAAAATTAGGAAGCTACAGGTTGAACTATATAGTAAGTACCTTAAGTTTATTACTACTCAGCAACAGGGCTACCGATGTGTTTGTATGGCGACCCTGCTTACCCCCTAAGAGTCCATCTTCAGGGGCCATTCCGGAACCCCCACCTTACTCCCTTGATGGAAGCATACCACAGTTCAATGAGTTCAGTAAGGGTGTCTGTAGAGTGGTTATTTGGAGATATCATAGAATATTTCAAGTTCACGGATTTTAAAAAGAATCTCAAGATAGGAATGAGCAGCATTGGAAAGATGTACATTGTTTGTGCACTTCTGCAAAATGCTTTGAGTTGCTTGTATGGCAACAATACTGCAACGTTTTTTGACCTTGAGCCTCCCACCCTGCAAGACTATTTTGCATAGCTGATGTGTTGAAGAAAAGAGAACTTTATCTTCTTATGAAATTTTATAATTTGAAACAGTTATGGTATGCAATAACTTGGACATTACCTTTTGAAATCTGAGGAGCAGCCCCTCCCGATCAGCTGATTAAAAAAAAAATGCATATAAACCTATCATGGTCAAGGGTTGTTGGGTGTAGCAGAGTTTGTGAGGCACAAAATTTCAGACACTTGTTATAAACATATATTCAACATGTACAGTCCAACAGTTTTAACCAATAAATTAACAACAAAATGTTTAAGCCTTATTTGTCTTTTTTCGTACCAGCTTCTGCATGAATGAGAAGCCACCAAAGTTTCCAAGAGGTATTTATCATAATAAGCAAATTCAAATGATTATAACATGAAAATGTAAGCATTTCTTTCATAAATGCCATTGTCCTATGAAAGTTAATGAACATAAATTCAAATCTCTCTCTGCAAAGTGCCATTCAAAAAGACACCATTGGCTAACAACAACAAATTAAGTTACAGTAATTAACAGTTAATTCCTCTCTTTAGGCAACATTTTTTCCATGAGGGTGAGCAATGCTTGATTCATCTGCTGTTGTTGCTGTAATATCAACAGTGTTTGGCTTTGTTGATCTTTCCTGTAGCTCTTCCTCTCTCAGAGAATGTTCTAACTTTGCTTTTTCTCTGAGAAATATCACGATCGGGTATCACGATCGGTAAAATAGACATGCTACGGTCTCTGTTGGAGAATACCAGCTATCGACTCACTGGAAGCTCTCATCTGGGACAGTATGTTTCCATGGCTTTGAAACAGGAAACTGAACGGATTAAACAAGAATTGGAAATACCTGGTCAAGTTAGCATGACAAGTGACCTTTCAGTCATTTTTGACGGCAGCACCAGACAAGGGGAAGCAATTGCTCTAATAGTACGTATAGTGGACAATAACTGGAACATTATCCAACGACTTGTGAGAATTGATGTTTTCTCTAAGTCAGTCAATGCCAACGAACTAGCACAAGTTCTTAATCAGTGCCTGTCTGTTGATTATGAGGTCAGAGCAAATTCCTTTCTCGCAGCCATGAGAGACAGTGCAAGCGTTAAACAAGCAGCACTGGACAGAATAACATTTATATTCCCTAAGATGCTGAATGTCGTGTGCTTCTCTCATACACTTGATAACGTGGGAAACCATTTAGTGATCCCAACATTGGTAGAGTTCGGAAGCCTTTGGATTAGAATGTTTCGCCATAGTTGTAAAGCCAAGCTGTTATGGAAGGATTTAACAGGTCAAACATCAAGATCATATAGCGAGACTAGACAGTGGAGGTGTATCATCAGTTGATGGTGCAGTTTGGAGATGTCGCAAGGTTCGTAGAAGAGGCAAAGGACGCAAAAGTTTGCCCACAGTTACCGCCACAACTTCAAGCAATACTTTCTGAACCACAGCGACCAATGAACTTGAAGCTTGAGCTTGCCGCTACTATTGATGTTGGCGAACATTTTGTGAAAGCCACGTATTTTTTGGAAGGGGATGGTCCTTTGATTTTTGCTTGTTATGAGAAACTAAGCGCCGTTTTTTTGTCAATTTCCTTGTTTCCCTAACGTCCGTGCAATTGCAACTGCAATTGCGGAGGAAGAACGTAACAGCACTCGAACGGAGTGCGAAGGCTTATGTTGTAGCCGGCAATTACGTGGTTTCCGAGAAAGTTCAATGTCGATCTTTATGATGTAGTGGTAGCATTCAAGGCTTTCAGACTATTCTGCCCCGTTAGGATCCAGTGGCTTAAGCCCACAAATGCATTAGTAGAGTCTCTGAGAGTATTTCCTTTCCTGGATAGTGATACTACCATCGACGGTCTCAAAGCCGAGCTTCCTGCCTATTTGGCTGCCGCTGAAGATGTTGTTACCCGACTGAAGAGAAGAAAGTCGAATGATGGTGTGAGCACGAGGAGCAACTTCCTCGTTGGGCTTCCGCAGTGAAGCAAGTTCTCCTTGTTCAACCATCGTCTGCTAAGGCAGAAAGAGTATTTTTAATACTGAAGGCGTCCCTCAACGAGCAACAGAATTGTGCTCTTGTTGACTACCTCCAAGCCAGCGTCATGTCACAGTACAACAAGCGCTAAGAACTTCGAACATTAATTAACTGTTTATCATTGGACAAGTTTTGACTGTATCAGAAGTTTTATAACAAACAATTGAACACTTTTCACTTCATTCAGTTGCTGATACACACATGATACCTGAGTTTCTACGTTTTGCTTGAAATTAAACAAAGCATTTTCTGCAAGCAAAGTAGCATTATTTTGAGAATCGAGCATAATTTGAGCATTTTTTTGGCGTAAAGCGGAATTTCTAGAAGCATAAAATGCCAGTTTAGTAGCATAATCGGGAAAGGCCTAGACCCTGAGACGTTCTCTGTTTTGGAGTGCAGGCATGAGTCCATTCAACGTTTTAATGACATAAGCAGTGACTTTGGACAGGTTTATAAAATGAATTAAACAATGGAAATATGTTTATGAATTCTACTCTAACCAATATCTTTTTATATCATATCCAGGTTTTAAATCAGCATTACTGAGCATAACTATCAAGTGAGTATTTATTTCTTTTCTTTAATTTGTTACTGTAAAGTTTTTATTAATATGCGTGAAACTGCTGCTCGCCTCGATCAGCTGTTGCTATCTGCGAGCAGTAGATGTCAAGCCGTAAATATAGCAGTATCAACTGAACTGAATTGAGTTGAATTAATGATTATGAACTCTAAACTGACAATGTGTAACAACATGAATACTCTAACCAACATATTTTTTACATCAAAGCCAGATTTTTAGTCAGCGTTTCTGAGCGTAATGATGAGAACTCTGTTTCAATAGGTAAAAGTAAAATTGAAAGCCTAGAAATTATTTGACCTCTGTAGCAGTGTGACAGTTTCTATTTTACCTTGAAACGGAATAGTTCCGCTGAGTAATCTTTGATTACATACATGAGTCAATGTTTTAAGATTGCTTGAAAACCAGAAAGAAGAGTTCATTTTATCAACTACATTTCTGAAATGATTTTTCCGTGTCTCTTGTTTCCTCACCCTGCATGTGTCTGGATCAAAGAATATAAAGTCTTGATTGCTCTCAAGTCGGTAAGAGCTAAATCTTACATCACATTTTGATAGTTTTTAGTCTCAAAGAGCTACTCATTCGCAGACATGACCCTTTGTATTGGCATTAAAGCATATCAGTACAAAGTGATTCAAACTTTACAAAATCATCCAACAAGCTTTTGGACAGTCACGATTTGTGTATTTTCAAGGAAAAATAAATCTATTTATAATAAAGTTCGGATATAACGCGCGCTGTCATTGGTTGATAGCGCGTGCTCTATGAGAGTATAGAGCATAGAGCTGAGCTTAAGCTGTCACGCCATCTGCCAATTGTACTGTGTTCGAGCTTTTCCGGGACTTCTTTTTAGCTTTTTTCCGATAATTGAAAGTGAAATTTCGGAACTGAAGCGAGCCGGCAAGTAGCAACAGAAGAATCAAACAAAGGTTTGTAAACATACCAGGCGCCGTAATTTACATTATTAAAACGTGAGCAGATACGAAAATCCTCAAAGGGAAAACAAAATAAACATTCCGAGTTTTAAAGATTTTCACGCTCAGTTAGATTGCAAGCTTACGTACGGTAATAAAAATCAAACACAGCTAACACTCGTATAGTATATAAAGTTCAGTGTTCAAAAACAAAACAGAACAAAACAGAAATGATGAAAAATATAACCAAACTGGCATAATTGTTAAAATTCATACTAATCATGACGGTGTCTGAGCGAATATGATCATGCTGAATTTCATCGCGGCTTGCTCATCATGGCGATCTCCTGTCATCACAGTAAAGCAAGCCTCAGAAACTACATCGGCCGCCCTTCGAGTGAAAAAATAAGAGCTTGCTCTGATATCCTTTCCGATACGTTGAGTGGCAATTCACATCAGTCACTACAGCCGAGTTTTGCGGCGCTATCATCCCGAGCGATCTTCATGTCCCGGTGAATTCGGCTGTCGTTCATTCAAAAAACATTCGCCTTGAACAGTTTGTTTTCTACCTTCTCATGTGAAAAAACTCGCGTGTTTTTATGAGCCATAATTCGGCTGAAGTTCACTGAACATTTCACTTCAAGATTAGAGACTTAAAAACTTCAGGCAAAAGTGTTAAATTCGACTTGCCGAACTATTTTAGTTTGTAAACTATCGTAGAATGTGAACTTTGATGGTTTTTGAACTTTGATGGTTTGACACTTTTGACAGCTTTAATCTGGTACAGCCAATCAGATTATTTGAACCACTCTAACAAGGATTCTGATTGGCTTATTGTAGCGTGCTTTATGAGAGTATAGAGCATGCTGACGACATTGTTGTTCGCTTTGGAAATAAAGTTTGTTTTGAAAATTAAAAGTAATGCTAGGGTAATTTAACGGATTCTTTATTATACAACAAATAGAGAAGCCTTGACTGTGCTCTGTTCTGTTATAAAGCACGCCATCGCCAGAAATCAAGGACATTTCGAGCCCGAGAAGTGGGAAGAAACACTCGACTACGTCTCGTGTTTCTCTCTACACTTCTTTCGTGCTCTAGCCGCTTCCTGCGTGCTTTATAACAGAACAGAGCACAGTCAAGGCTTCTCTATTTGTTAATTAAAGTTGCAATCAATTTTTACAAGACGAGGAAGCAGTAAAATTCAATAAATTCCCCATAAAATAATAAACTGCGATAGTCGTTTCTTGATATCTACTGCTTATTTTGACAGATACACAACTTGCTCACACACTCAGCCTGATTGTCGGTGAATGTTGTAGCATCCAATGCCCTAATTCTGACTCTTCGATCTACGCACATTCAAAACAAAGATGGCTTTAATTAGCTGCACTCAAATGAACAACGGATATTTTACAGGGAAAAATTATTCATTGAAGAATTTATGAAAATATACGTATGTACTAACCACGCCATCGAACTACTGAGGGAAAATGGCTAAGTTAAACATTTTTATTTGGCACTCTTCCCCTACATCATGCCTGACTAAAGTATTCTTTGTTGGAACACATACATATTGGGGCGGATGCCATAGTTCAAAACCCACATTGTTTGTAATATTTATTCCGTTCTTACTTGCTAGCATGCCAACGTAAACATCGTCGAGTCTGAAGAACGGCAAAGAAGAGAAAGTGTCAACAAATGCGCGCACAACATCGTGAGATAAAATGTATCCAAAACCGGGGCAAAAGTCTGGATATCTCGTCCCGCTATATTCCTCGTAAGTTACCTTCCATTTACCCTCCCTTAAAGGAACAGGATTTGTGTAGTGATTGCCAGCGTAAAACATCTTTTTCGGCGTGGTTTGTGCGCTTAAGAAGGAGAGAACTCTTGGAACGTGCACGAAAACGTCGTCATCCAATTTCAAAAGAAACGAGAAATTGCAATACGTTACTGCCCATTCAAAGCCCATTTGTATCTTTCGGGTTTGATTCCAGTAGTGGTCGTAATAGCTAGCTCGCACAACGTCCTTAAGTGCTTCATCTTCGTCAAGCAACACGTTCGAAACTGTTTCATTCCGTGTCTGGGCGACCAGAAAAACTGACGTCCATCTTGGTTTTGCGGATCTTTCGAATGCCCATGTCTTACGAATGTTATTCCTTCTTCCGAAATTACCTGGAGCGGATGAGATAATGATAAGAAGATCGTAATGTTGCATACAAGATCTCCTGGTTATAAGAAATGATTTGTAATTGATTTGCGAAGTAGGAGTTGTCGTGTGATTCATTTTCAGTTCTCGTAATGGCGTCTGCCGCACGTCGTTTTCGACATCTAGTTGTTCACGAACACTGTCAGAGAAGGAGGAACGGGTACTCCGTATAAGACCTAGCTGGAAAAATACACAAATTGCCATCACAAAAGCTAAAACGGTCAAAACTCTTTTTCCTTGAACTCGGATCATTGTATTCCAGATAACCTGATAAAATTGGGTATGCAAATAAAGTTGGCGGAGTGTAAACTTGCCTGCTGGCGTCGCTTAAAGCGAAACCTTAATTATTAATATTTTAAAACAATGAACTTTTCCATCCAAAAATATCAGCATGCTCATTGGCCGAGAACACGTGAATTAATCCCAAACAGAGTAAAATTTTGAAATTGAATTGTTTAAAGCCGGCAAAAGCACAACAAAACAAAATGGCAGAAAGATCTCTTAAATCTTTTTCCTTTTCGAGAAAGATGTTTCGTAGAGAAAGAACTCAATGTTGTCCTGTCAGTTGAATCGGACCTTCCTCCGTGGCTCATTTTCTTAGACGGTGTGAGACTGGATTTTTATCTTGTGCCTAAATACGTTTCTTGCACTCTAATTCTACATTCGAAGAATTGACAGTCGTGGAAATCGAACCATTGATACAAAGTATTCCCTTCCCCGTCTAATTCCAACAAAACGTGATGATATTTACGCGCGCCATTGAACTCATTCCTCAACTGGTCCAAGTTCATTTCTTCTTGTTGTTTAAGGGTCACTGTGCACGTTCATTCTTTTAATATGTTTCCTTAATCTCTTACGGGCGGAATTTCGATGAGTGAGTTTAATTTCCAATCGACGAGCCTCTCCCTTTTCTCATCCATTTTTCCTTAAGGTTTTTTTGGTTTAGAATTTTCAAAACAGAAAGGCTCGATGCCTGTCACACTCTAATGTGATGTTTATGGTGTGTTGCGGTAGTCCGGACTTTTTTAGCCAACGCTCGAGGTCATACTTGACCCGTTTGGGTTATTTAGACGGAATAGATCTCGATGACTTAGAACCACCTCCGGCTGCTGGAATGTCTTTTTCTCTGCTGTTTACGCTCTTAAAATCGGTTCTGTGGCGAAAGCACTGAGTGTTTTGTGCCGGCATAACCTTTGTTGTCGCTGTTTAGACCAACTTGGTCACTCCGTACTTCAAGAATAGCAAGAGAAAGACGCTCTTCTTTGACGATAGCAGATCTGGTGGATTTTGTGTGCTGTGAATTTACTAACGGATGATATTACGGATCGACTCTCAGACAGAATTAGGTTTCAGTGTGTTCCATATTTTCTCACTGCTTGTTTTCCTTACGTTTAATTTCCGCTTGTGCTGCTTTAACAGTATCAACTGAATTGACTTGAATTGAATTAATATGAGTTTATTAATTCTAAACTGACAATATGTAACAACATAAATACTATAACCAACATATTTTCACATCAAAAGCAGGTTTTTAGTCAGCCGATTATTAAGCATAATGATGAGGACTCTATTTTAATAGGTAAAATTAAAATTTTAATTGAAAGCCTAGAGATTATTTGACCCCTGTAGCCGTGTGACAGTTTCTGTTCTAAAGTGAAACGGATTAGTTCTGTTGAGTAATCTTTGGTTACATGTATGAGTCAATGTTTTAAGATTGCTTAAAAAACCCGCAAGAAGAGTTGATTTCTGAACTAAATTGTTTCTGAAATAAATTGTTCCGTGTCTCTTGCTTCTTCACCCTGCATGTGTCTGGATGAAAGAATATAAAGTTTTGATTGCTCTCAAGTCAGTAAGAGCTAGATCTTACATCACATTTTGATAGCTTTAGCCTCTAAGAGCAACTCATTCCCAGACACTTTTAAAGCATATCAATACAATGTGGTACAAACTTTACAAATTCATCCAACAAGCTTCTTCACAGTTTCTTTTTGCGAATTTTCAAAGAAATATAAATGTTTTTAAAGTTGCAATCAATTTTTACAAGATGAGAAAGCAATAAAATTCAATAACATTCTCCAGAAAATAATAAACTGCGATAGTCGTTTCTTGATATCTGCGGCTTATTTTGACAGACATACAACTTGCTCTGAAACTCAGCCTGATTGTCGGTGAATGTTGTAGCATCCAATGCCCTGATTCTGACTCTTCGAGCAACGCACTTTCAAGACAAAGATAGCTTTAAATGGCTGCACTTAAATGAACAATGGATATTGAATAGGGAAACATCATTCATTGAAGAATTTATCTAAATATACGTATGTACTAACCACGCCACTGAACTACTGAGGGAAAATGGTTAAGTTAAACATTTTCTTTTGGCACTCTTCCCCTACATCATGCCTGACTAAAGTATTCTTTGTCGGAACACATACATACTGGGGTGGATGCCATACTTCAAAGCCCACATTGTTTGTGATACTTATTCCGTTCTTATTCGCCAGCATACCAACGTAAACATCGTCCAGTCTGAAGAACGGCAAAGAAGAGAAAGTGTCAACAAATGCACGTACAACATCGTGAGATAAAATGTATCCAAAACCGGGGCAAAAGTCTGGATATCTTGTCTCGTTATACTCCTCGTAAGTTACCATCCATTTGCCTTTCCTATGAGGGCCCATGTTTGCATAATGACAGCCAGCATAAAGCATCTTCTTCGGCGTGGTGGGTGCGCTTAAGAAGGAGAGAACTCTTGGAACGTGCACGAAAACGTCGTCATCCAATTTCAAAAGAAACGAGAAATTGCAATACGTTACTGCCCACTCGAAGCCCATTTGTATCTTTCGGGTTTGATTCCAGTAGTGGTCGTAATAGCTAGCTCGCACAAGGTCCTTAAGTGCTTCATCTTCGTCGAGCAACACGTTCGAAACTGCTTCATTCCGTGTTTGAGCGACCAGAAAAACTGACGTCCATCTTGGTTTTGCGGATCTTTCGAATGCCCATGTCTGACGAATGTTATTCCTTCTTTCGAAGTTACCTGGAGCGGATGAGATAATGATAAGAAGATCGTAATGTTGCATACAAGATCTCCTGGTTATAAGAAATGATTTGTGATGAGTTTGCGAAGTAGAAGTTGTCGTGTGATTCATTTTCAGTCCTCGTAATTGGATCCGCTTCACATGGTTTTCGACATCTAGTTGTTCACGAACAATGTCAGAAAAGGAGGAACGAGTACTCCGTATAAGACCTAGCTGGAAAGATACACAAATAGCCATCACAAAAGCTAAAACGGTCAAAACTCTTTTCCTATGAATTATGATCATTGCATTCCAGCAAACCCGATAAAATTGGGTATGCAAATAAAGTCGGCGGCTTGTAAACTTGCTTGCTGGCGTTGCGTAGAGCGATACCTTAATTATTAATATTTTAAAACAATGAACTTTTCCATCCAAAAATATCAGCATGCTCATTGGCCGAGAACACGTGAATTAATCCCAAACAGAGCAAAATTTTGAAATTCAATTAATTGAAGGCGGCGAAAGCACAACAAAACAAAATGGCAGAAAGATCTCTTAAATCTTTTTCCTTTTCGAGAAAGATGTGTCGTAGAGAAAGAACTCAATGTTGTCCTGTCAGTTGAATCGGACCTTCCTCCGTGGCTCATTTTCTTGGACGGTGTGAGACTGGATTTTTATCTTGTGCCTAAATACGTTTCTTGCACTCTAATTCTACATTCGAAGAATTGACAGTCGTGGAAATCGAACCACTGATACGATGTATTCTTTTCCTCGTCTAATTCCAACAAAACGTGACAATCTTTACGCGCGCCATTGAACTCATTCCTCAACTGGTCCAAGTTCTTTTCTTCCTGTTGTTTAAGGGTCACTGAACGCATTCATTCTTTTAATGTGTTTCCTTAATCTCTTAAGGGCGGAATTGCGATTAGTGAGTTTAATTTTCAATTGATGAGCATCTCCCTTCTCATTAATTTTTCCTCTACGTTATTTTGGTTTAGAATTTTCAAAACAGAAAGGCTCGATGTCTGTCACACTCTTATGTGATGTTTATGGTGTGTTGCGGTAATTCGAATCTTTTTAGGCAACGCTCGAGGTCATACTTGTTTCGTTAAGGTTGTTTAGACGGAATAGATCTCGGTGAATTAGAACTACCTCCCGCTGCTGGAATGTTTTTTTCTCTGCTGTTTACGCTCTTAAAATCGGTTCTGTGGCAAGAGTACTGCGTGTTTTCTGCCGGCATAACCTCTGTTGTCGCTGTTTAGACCGACTTGGCCCGTCCGTACTTCAAGAGGAGCAAGAGAAAGACGCTCTTCTTTGACGATAGCAGATCTGGTGGATTTTGTGTGCTTTGAATTTACTAACGGATGATTTTACGGATCGACTGTTCAAACGGAATTAGGGCTTCAGTGTGTTCCATATTTTCTCCCTGCTTGTTTTCCCTACGTTTAATTTCCGCTTGTCCTGCTTTAACAGTATCAACTGAATTGACTTGAATTGAATTAATATGAGTTTATTAATTCTAAACTGACAATATGTAACAACATAAATACTATAACCATCATATTTTTACATCAAAAGCAGGGTTTTAGACAGCCGATTACTGAGCATAATGATGAGAACTCTATTTTAATAGATAAAAGTAAAATTGAAAGCCTAGAGATTATTTGACCCCTGTAGCCGTGTGACAGTTTCTATTCTACACTAAAACGGAATAGTTCCGTTGAGTAATCTTTGGTTACATGCATGAGTCAATGTTTTAAGATTGCTTAAAAAACCCGCTAGAAGAGTTGATTTCTGAACTAAATTGTTTCTGAAATAAATTGTTCCGTGTCTCTTGCTTCTTCACCCTGCATGTGTCTGGATGAAAGAATATAAAGTTTTGATTGCTCTCAAGTCGGTAAGAGCTAGATCTTACATCACATTTTGATAGCTTTAGCCTCTAAGAGCAACTCATTCCCAAACACTATTAAAGCATATCAATGCAGTGTAATACAAACTTTCCTAATTCATCCAACAAGCCTCTTTACAGTTACTTTTTGTGAATTTTCAAGGAAAAATAAATCTATTTCAAGTTGCAATCAATTTTTACAAGATGAGAAAGCAATAAAATTCAATAATATTCCCCATAAAATAAACTGCGATAGTCGTTTCTTGATATCTACGGCTTATTGTGACAGATATACAACTTGCTCTGACATCCAGCCTAATTGTCGGTGAATGTTGTAGCATCCAATGCCCTGATTCTGACTCTTCGAGCTACGCACATTCAAAACAAATATAGCTTTAAATAGCTGCACTCAAATGAACAACGGATATTGAATAGGGAAACATCACTCACTGAAGAATTTATCTAAATATACGTATGTACTAACCACCCCATCGAACTATTGAGGGAAAATGGCTAAGTTAAACATTTTCATTTGGCACTCTTCCCCTACATCATGCCTGACTAAAGTATTCTTTGTTGGAACACATACATACTGGGGTGGATGCCATACTTCAAAGCCCACATTGTTTGTGATACTAATTCCGTTCTTACTCGCCAGCATGCCAACGTAAACATCGTCCAGTCTGAAGAACGGCAAAGAAGAGAAAGTGTCAACAAATGCGCGCACAACATCGTGAGATAAAATGTATCCAAAACCGGGGCAAAAGTCTGGATATCTTGTCTCGTTATACTCCTCGTAAGTTACCATCCATTTGCCTTTCCTATGAGGGCCCATGTTTGCATAATGACAGCCAGCATAAAGCATCTTCTTCGGCGTGGTGGGTGCGCTTAAGAAGGAGAGAACTCTTGGAACGTGCACGAAAACGTCGTCATCCAATTTCAAAAGAAACGAGAAATTGCAATACGTTACTGCCCACTCGAAGCCCATTTGTATCTTTCGGGTTTGATTCCAGTAGTGGTCGTAATAGCTAGCTCGCACAAGGTCCTTAAGTGCTTCATCTTCGTCGAGCAACACGTTCGAAACTGCTTCATTCCGTGTTTGAGCGACCAGAAAAACTGACGTCCATCTTGGTTTTGCGGATCTTTCGAATGCCCATGTCTTACGAATGTTATTCCTTCTTTCGAAGTTACCTGGAGCGGATGAGATAATGATAAGAAGATCGTAATGTTGCATACAAGATCTCCTGGTTATAAGAAATGTTTTGTGATGAATTTGCGAAGTAGAAGTTGTCGTGTGATTCATTTTCAGTTCTCGTAATTGGATCCGCTTCACATGGTTTTCGACATCTAGTTGTTCACGAACAATGTCAGAAAAGGAGGAAAGAGTACTCCAAATAAGTCTTAGCTGGAAAGATACGCAAATTGCCATCACAAAAGCTAAAACGGTTAAAACTCTTTTTTTAGGAATTCTGATCATTGTATTTCGGCATATCCGATAAAATTGCGTATGCAAATCAAGTTGACGTGTACAGTTTCCCCACTGGCGTCGCGTAACAACAGACAGCAAATTTTAAGTCATTTGACCCTTTGCAACTGAAGGCCCTCAATAGGACTTCTTAAGAAACTTGCTGCACTTGACTAGAGTGTGCTGACCACTACAGGAGGGCAGATCTGATCTGTTTGACGACAGGATGATTTTATTTTATTTAACAAATAGAGAAGCCTTGACTGTGCTCTCTTCTGTTATAAAGCACGCCATCGCCAGAAATCAAGGACATTTCGTGCCCGCTAACATTTTTCAGCGGTATATCGTATTACACTCCGGAAAAATAGAATATCAAAAGAATTCAATATGGCGGCGATCACGGCTCGATCTGCAAAGAAGAATGTTTCGTACCATGACTTATACAATTTGAGCAAAAAGAAAAAGAAAAGAAGACCTGCAAGTAAATCTTTGGGATTTTTCGAGGCAGAGTGATGACATGATGTCAGAATTTTGATTTGCTTTAATTTAATTTTCGTGCCAAGACTGCTGAATTTGCATTCAATGCCTGGCATATTTTTATTCCGAAAAGGACCTGAGAACTAATTTATTTCCCTGCAAGAACTTAAACAAATATGGCCGACGATTCGAAGATCAGCATTGCTCGTGTTTAACTATTTCAGTCATAGTTTTCAACATGGCGTCTCGTCACTTACTCAACATGGAAAATAAGGGATATTCTGGCGTGTTGGGAAGTTTTTTGATGGGAGGAAATGGCAATTTTACAGGATATTTGGACGCTTCGAACTCTGTAGCAGTCAATTCGATAGAGAGTAGTTGACTTTATTGATGCACTTTCGTAGCGAGTGTTTGGGATGGAGAACGACGGATTTTGAAGAACTGTATGGCGACCTAGGTCAATGATCAATGACAAAAGAACTGGCTCGGGAAGTAAGTGTTTTTATTTATCGAGTCCTTGTGAGGTTTGATGAATAGCAGAATCAGTACTGAATATGTCTCAATCGAGAGCAGACGGGACCATGAGCTCCTGATTGTTATATTTTAGAAATTTTACAAATTTCCATACAGTTTCTTACATTACTTGGACGCCATTTAGGAGGAAATGCGCAAGCGCGGCCGCCATCTTGTCCAATATTTCTGCCGATGAGGAAGCGGCTAGAGCACGAAAGAAGTGTAGAGAGAAACACGAGACGTAGTCGAGTGTTTCTCCCACTTCTTGAGTGCTCTAGCCGCTTCCTAAGTGGTTTATAACAGAACAGAGCACAGTCAAGGCTTCTCTATTTGTTTTATAATAAAGAATCCGTTAAATTACCCAAGCATTACTTTCAATTTTTAAAACAAACTTTATTTCCAAAGCGAACAACAATGTCGTCAGCATGCTCTATACTCTCATAAAGCACGCTACAATAAGCCAATCAGAATCCTCGTTAGAATGGTTCAAATAATCTGATTGGCTGTACAAGATTAAAGCTGTCAAAAGTGTCAAACCATCGAAGTTCAAAAACCATCAAAGTTCACTTTCTACGATAGTTTACAAACTAAAATAGTTCGGCAAGTCGAATTTAACACTTTTGCCTGAAGTTTTTAAGTCTCTAATACAGAATCTTAAAGTGAAATGTTCAGTGAACTTCAGCCGAATTATAACTCATAAAAACAAGCGAGTTTTTACACATGTCAAAGTAGAAAACAAACTGTTCAAGGCGAGTGTTTTTTGAGTGAACGACAGCCGAATTCACCAGAACATGAAGATCGCTCGTGATGACAGCGCCGCAAAACAAGGTAGAAAACAAACTGTTCAAGGCGAGTGTTTTTTGAGTGAACGACAGCCGAATTCACCGGAACATGAAGATCGCTCGTGATGACAGCGCCGCAAAACTCGGCTGCAGTGACTGGTGTGAATTGCCACTCAACGAATAGGAAAGGATATCAGAGCAAGCTCTTATTTTTTTCACTCGAAGGGCGGCCGATGT